GGTGATTATGAGCCCTTACAAGGCATGTTCACTAAGGATTTAAGATTTTACTGGCTAAGAACCAGGTGCCACAGAAAATTCTGGAGCAGGAGAATGAACACGGGCAGAGGAGCACTTAGAAAAACCTGACAGATTCCAACAATGGCGCAAAAAATTGAGAATTAAAAATGAACGACAACGAAAATCCCAGAAGAAAACAAACAACCAAGGGGGCTCATGGCGCTTAGTTTGAAGATACCGCGCTATTCTGGGAGACGGGCTGTAGCAACGGCAAGAAAAGAGCTTCTGGGGAGAGCGGCCAGAGTCACTGAAGCTGGAAAAGGCAAATTAAAGCCTACATTACTGGAAGAATGGTGGTGACCTTCAGGCAAACAGTAAAGTCAATATAGGTAAAGAGCTTTCTCCTCTTGGGGTGGGCAGCAGGAGAAATAATGAACTCAGGTTTGAGGTGTTAATTTCACCAGTAAGACTTGAACCTGTTCCGTGCACCTACTTTAATAGTCTAAGAGAATGGCTGTTAAAAGAATCCAGTAAGCACTTGGATTCCCTTTAGAACTTGCTTAACTAGTTCATGATAACTTGAACCTATTGGTCACCCCTCTGTGGCAAGCTGGTTTTGGCAATCTGCTCAGCTGTCCTCCAACTGACCTCGGCACATCGGCCCTGACCTCTGGGAAGGAAAATTCCAATCTGGAGATGGGACTTTCTGGTCTGGATTGTACTTCTCAACAGGCCACATGGATGTGAGGCACAACCTTAGAACTGAAACTTTTTATTTACAGGAAAGGAAAGTCTACAGGTAAACGTCAGTGATAAAGTTCCTTGTTAGTGACCTCCTGAATTCTATGAAATCTAAGAGTCAAGATACTCTTTGGTCAGTTAATCCTCTTTTGTGGAATAGTCTAGACATATTCTGTAACACACATTTGGAGTGGTCGGTCTTCTAGGTAACCAAAACATCACAGAGACCAAACTGCTTCATAAAAATGGAAATTACCATTTGTAAAAACACACTGTTTATTAACGCTCCTCAGCATGTCCTTAGAAGCTATGAAATTAAATTCACACCTTTAGGAAAAGGATCGAATGTGTGTGGGTACACACACTCAGAGACACATACTTCAGAGCCATCTCCAAATATGCCATCCTTCAAAGACTTTGTCAACTCTTCAACAACAAGCAGTAATAACATTTTTTAAACATTTAAAAAACGACTTCTAAAAAGTGAAATGAGGCAACTTTATTCAGTAAAAAAACAGAGCAGTGATTCAAAAAGCAGACTCTAACTGTCCAGGTTGGAACATAATCCAGTCATGGGGTTCTCACTGCCTCTCTCAGGGGCTGAGGTAACTAGTATCCAAATATGGCCACCAACAATTCCTTAGACTCAATAGATGGAGACCTCTAGATCCCTTGACTCTGGGATGGTCTTGAAACTTGCTTTAGTTAATAGAATGATGCAAAAGTGATGTTCTTGGACTTACAAGTCTAGGTATTCATCGGCCTGACAGTCTCTACTTCCTCTACCAGCCACCTCATGAAAAGTCTGACTTTCTAGCTGGAGAAACTTGAAGCCATCTTAGTTAGGTGAGCCCCACTGAGTGCCCAGCTAAGTGTTGCCACCTGGTTGAGCCGAGGCAAAAACAGCAGAGGAACCCCAGGCACCCACAGAATTGTGATAAATGATAAACCAGTGCTTGTTTCAAGCTACTAAGTGTGGAGTTCTTTGTCACGAGGTAACATGTTACAAAACAATGGGTGAAAAAGATATCAAGTGAGTAAAAGTGAGCCAGATCTGCTAGTCACCTGGGACCATCTGTGATCATACTGGGATTCTGTACACTTGCTCTGCTTGCAAACTAAAATTTAAGTGGAAAAACACAGATAGGAACTTATTGTGTCATATACATACTCTAGCATTTAGTAACACTAGGATAAAGGCACTGATGTTCAGTCTGCCCTCTTGACAATTTTAACCCCAGAGCCCTGTGGGACTATCAAAACCATCTCCTTTGCCCAGTTCAAGAAGCTCTCTCCCTCCTTGTTCTGCCCAGTTCAAGAAGCTCTCTCCCTCCTTGTTCTGCTATCTCTAACACCGTGCCACAAACCCACCAATGTTTATGTCAGAAAGAATAACAAGATGATGGATGCTGAAGTGAATAAAACGTCCGTGTAAGTACTGGGAGGCTGAAAAAATGCTCAGACTAGATGAACTGAATGGAGCCACACAGACAGCAATGACTGGGGAGGCCGGGGGTGCAGTGAATTGTCAGCCTCGATTCTCGACCCTTCCCTGCATCCACACCCTTGTCACAAATGCACCGCGTTCAGAGGGGTTTCTCTGACTCTTGTCTTTGAGCGCATTTGTGTGACTTGAGTTGACCAGTAAAATGTGGGTGCACGTGACACTGGGCCAGCTGTAAGCCCAAGGTTAAGAGGCAGCTTGTGTACTGCTTGCACTTTTACCCTTCTGCATAAGAAGAGCATGCCCCCCTTTCCCTTTCCGCAGCTCACTGGTCCCAGGAGGAAGATGAGAGAGACATGGAGCAGAGCCACTCCAGCTGACTCACCAACTCGTGATCAAGAAAGACATGCTCATTGTTGAACGCCGCTGAGATCTTAAGGTTGTCTGATACCCAGCGATAGGTGACTAAAGGAAAAGTCCTTTATTAGACGCCAACATTTGCCAAATACACATCGTACTTTAGAATAATAGAAAGTCTCCTTGCCTATTAAAACTGAAACCGAATTACCAACTGGACGGTTAGGTGTTATCACAGAATATAAGGGCAATATACTGACTATGGTTTTTGCTCTTACAGTCTATCTTTCTAAAGACTGTAATTTGGTATTCAAAGTTCTCTATAATTTAACCCTTAGTTTTCTAGCCAATTCTCTCCCACTTAAATTTTATATTCCATTCCAACTGGATTATTTATAATTCTCAAGTAAGTCTCACATCACATCTAGCCTTTCTTCACCCAGTTCCTTCCTGCACCCTTCATCTAACAAGTTTAGATTCTTCTGGTCCTTTAAGGCCAGGTTTAGAGGTCACCTCTAGAAATCTACTCTGATCCCACCTTTTAAGGCAGTCTCTCCATCCCCTTGACTCTTACCACAATGTATGTCTTTTCCTCTCCTGGTACATGGCTTATTTTGCCTCGTAACATTTCCTCATCCTCTTAGGAAGTCCTAGAAAGGGAGGTTTACGTATCATTTACCTCTGCACCCCACCCCCCATGGCACTTAGCAAAAGGTCTCGGCCTATCCTGTACAGGCCACTCAATACTCTTTTGCATTGAAGAATGAGTGACCGATGGGAGGCAGCAGGGTGCCAGGCATCGACACTGAGAGAAGCAACATGGACCCTGGAGTCAGAGCCACCTGAGTCTGTGGCTTCGTAGCTGGGCAACTTGGGACCAGTTAGTCTCTCTGTGCTTCAGCTTCCAAATATGTAAAACTGGGATGACACATCTTTCACAGGATTGTTGTGAAAAATCCACCATGAAAATGAGCGTATAAATGCTTCGGCATGTTTGACATATGGTGGCAGCTCCATTAATGGTAGCTCTTGTTACAAAAATGATAATGACACAGAGTATCACGTAGAAGCTAATGTGAACAAATGTTTGATACTAGATTATGTTCTCTTAATAGTTAAGTGTTTGAGGGTGATGGAATGATGCTTGTCCACTTAACTGTTTTCCCAGGAACTGGTCTCAGTGATCTGAGTCAAGTTTTAGTTAAATGCTCCCACGCTACTCTTCCCCACTGTTCTGAATTTTCTAGGCCGTCGCCACCAGAAGCAAATTTGTTCCAGGCAACACATACATTTCCTTGAAACGACACAACACAAAGTCCTCCTCCCATATACACTAGCCTACTTTTAGCAGAGCAGCAACCTTCCCACGGTACCCCAATTCTTCACCAGGGACCGGCACAACCATCAGGAGGGACCGAAATGCCATAGAGTGACTTGCCAGTGGCTGAACACAGGAGTACGGTGCATGGGTCCAGTCGTGGGTTATGACAAAGTAATTCAGCCAAACTCCTATGCCTGCCTTCCTAACTGGAATTTTGTACTAACCCACGGCCATGTGGCACCAGAGCAATCGCGGATCTTCTAAGGAACAAACTCATCGCCAGGCACACTGAGAAGCCTGGAAGTGGCCAGGCCATTGACATTCAGGAGCGAACGGGGCTTGGTGTGCTCTCCAGGGCGGGCTCAGCAGTTCCTGGACTGAGGGGACCACTGTTATCTCAACCCACTGACTGTGGCCTCAGGGAAGACAGACTCGGTGCCACCAGTTTTCCTGAAGAAATTTTGGGGTTTTACGTGAAACATCCTGAGTTTTATACGCTGCCTTGCTTTTTATTTCGTAATTCTCTGGGAGCCAAAGAAAATATATTTGCCACCCAGACGTGGCCATGGGATGGCAGGTTGTGACCTCTGCACGAGATATTCTACCCTTGATCTTAGCCAAAAGGCCGAGAAGTGATGCACGAGATATTCTAAAGTCACTTTGATTCATCACAGAACAGTTAAGAGACAATTATTAAATTCATTGTATTTGTATTTTTTAATCTGAAAAAAATGCACATGAGAAGTCCCATAAAGAGGAACCAGGAGCCCGAAGAAACACCTCACTCTCTCATTTACAAATCCTCACTCACTGCACTTTTGGACGACTGTGTTTTCTGTCGTACAGCGCTCCTCTACCAGGACCCCCGGTGGCTGCTGTCCTATGTACCCATCCAGTTACTTAAAGCTTGACTTCAACGTTAGTTTCCGTATGAAACCTCCATAGCGCTCCTCAGAGTCCTCTATGTATAAACTACTACAGAAACTGCCCCACGTAAAAGATCTGCCGTGATTTCTAGCCACATCTCATCAGCCCGTTACCAGCACCACCCCCCACCCCCAAACACTACAGGTATTCACTCTGAAAAAACTGAAGGCCCGGGTCAGTCGGTCAAGGGTCAAGTTCAACGGCACTCACCGCCAAACACATCTCCATTCTGGTAGTTCTTCCCTTTCTGGGCTTCCTCTTCATTTTGAACAGTGGCAACATGCTTGGCAGAGGCACAGCCCATAGTCTCATTCGGTCAGCTTCAGCCGGGCTGAACTGCAAATCATCTCTACAGACACGGGGACATTTTTTTTTTCTTTAAACACAAAGAAAATCCACCTTCCTGCTGAGTCGGTCAGGACGTGGGCACCTGCAAGAGCAGAAAGCTGGGTCAGAATGAGGGTGGCAAAAGCCTGTGTCTCCGTGTCCCCTGCTGTGTGATCGGCAACGCACGAGGAGTCCTGCCTGACCCCGGCGCGTGGGGAGGGGTCACTGGTGCTGAGGAGGAAAGGCAACACAGCCCCCTTTCGTCTGAAAGTCACTCAGAAAGCAAGACCAGAAGGCATGGCCCCTGCAGAACACATGGCTGAACTCCTCGAGGAGATAACAGAAACATATGTATTTGTTTCTTCAAATCAATATTGGGGCACTACTCCTTATTACACATAAAGTGCATGTATGTTTGCTAATGCTCTGGAATCTCAAAAACCTTCAGAGTAAGGAAAAGTGCATTCATGAGATCCACCCAGCTCAGGAAACTGGTGGGAAAAATTCTCCATCTTCCCCTTCCTTCCTTGTAAGCCAGCTCTTTTCAGATCCTCAATTTTTTTCCAGGATGAAGCAGCCTTCCTCCACAGGCTGAAATATGGGCTAATTTATATATTTCTAGTGGGTTCTGGAAGGAACTCCGTATTTTATTTTACCTGAGGTGACAGTGTTTTGGAAGATGAAGGAAGGCAATGGGGACAAGAATTCAAACTTACTTTGTCCATTCTCCGAGGAGCTAGCTGAGTGCTTTAAGGATTGAGAAGATGTGGGAAGATCCAGAAAAGAAAAGGCAACTGCCCACCTCTTACCGGAGGCTCTGTCCCTCTACTGGACCACTAATAAAGACTGAAAGAATTTATGGATAAACCACAAAGGAGATAGTCTTCTAGTTTACGTGAGTAAATATACTTTCCCCACTCCACCCAAGGTCACTGCTCAGATTCTCAGGGTTTCCTCTGTATTATTTTATTCTTTCATTCTTTTCCAGCCATTCCAATCTTGTAGACAACTTATGCCAGTCACACAGATGTCTGCTTGGATATCCACCCATTCCTTCATCTCCATCCATCCCACTGTAGCTCAGGCCCCCACCGCTTTACACCCAAGCAGAGCGAAAGAAGCATCAGGCCACACACCCGACACGGATGAGCACCTGCATCCCCTACAGCCCTCTCCCCTTTATGAACAACTGATGGTTTTCTCAGCCTCAGGAACAGGGCTCTAGAAACTGAAACGCAGCTGCAGGCCTCCTTCCTAGAGCACCGGCGTCCTAGGGCACCAATGGACAGAGAAATCTAATCACTTAAGCCATAAAATCTCAGCTAAGGGAATTTTTCAAATTCACCGAATACTGAAAGGTAATTCCAAATCAATCTCAAAAATAAACTTAGATACAAAGGTAATGGTCTTCAATGAAGCCAAGCAAATGCAAATTGCAGTATCGACTCTGCGGGTATAACATTAGTCCTGTCTTTCTGTAGTTTTTCATACTATCTTCTAGCATTGGTTCATAACTGGGAGGATAGGATTAGGGTTAGTTGATCAAGTTTTACAAAAAAGGAAGATTTTTTTTATTCCCCAGACAGTTGATGTTTATAGTTTTTCTACACAATTGGGTAACCTCTTGTTAACACATTTTCGTATTTGTAAAGCTAGCTGGAGCGTGTGCGTGCACACACACACACACACAGCCCACATTTAGCAGCAATGTGTTTAAAGCTAGAGTATTTTGATCTGATGGTCTATTCATACCAGTCTATATAGCTCAGGGGCCTGATGGGGGCAATGTGCATGCGGGAGACATTTTTTAAAAATCTACACAATGATGTGAAGGAGGGCCATGATAGAGGTTTCACAGGAATATGGCAATGCAGAATTTAAAAAAAAAGAGAGAGAGAGAGAGAGAAGAAATTATGACTGGGCAAAGACAGGAGCTAAAAGAGGAAGTAGTATTTTGTAGAGACTTAACAGCCCAGTAAGGCTCAAAGGGCAGTAGCATCATCTAGACCTACAGAAGTGCCTGAGTGAAGACACTAGAATGTGAAGGGTGGGTGTGGGAGTGTGCGCCCCTGAGTCCAGACTCACCCTCTCTGGGTGAGATGAGGTGGGAGCGGGTCAGGGAAGGGGGCTACGTGGCTGATGCTTTGCGAAGGGCCTTATCCAACTTCTAGATAAAGACGTCTCTCCGGTGCAAAGCTAGGCACACTTGGAGAGATATTAAACTAGCAGTGCAGAAATCCATTCTGTTGACCTATCACAGATTTTGAAGAAACATCACTGACATATGGGACAAGAAGAATGAGAGAGGGAATTCAATTCCAAAGGCAGAAGAAGGGGAAGATTCCTCTCCAACCAAGAAGCTGCTGGGGCTCGTGGCCACCGCCACCATGCTCCCCGAGCCAGCACTTTCTCGGGGGCTGACCTCCCTCAGTCTCCCTCCAGCATCACCACCTAAGAGAACAGGTGTAGGCCCAGCACAAATTCCTGTTTTCAAAAAGGATTGTGGGCAAACAAGCTCACAAGTCCACAGGAGAACAAGCTGAAATGAGGGGGGAAACCTTCCCGTTGCCACCTCTTCAAAACAAAGTAAGAAAAGGAAGGAGAATGGGAAACTCTAACAGAATCCCTGAAGGACAGGGGAGATCCAAGGGGACCTGACAACTGTCCTCTCTGGAAGTCCCCCTCGCTTTCCTTGTCCTCATTCCAAATTTCTGTTTATCACCTCATAGGCTACCCAAGAAGTTCATGTAAGGATCTAACATGTGAATTATCCTTTGCTACCCCCTGAAAAGCATTGTGTGGCTTCTTCTGCGTTTTAAGAGTCGTGTTTTTATCAAAAAGTCTTACTTGAATTTAAAAAGGTGAAATCACACGAGAATCAGACCGCAGCAGGCTAACAAACATAAAACGTGTAAGAATACCTTTTGGAAGGACTTCTCTGCTATTCAGGCACGGAGGTGAGGGGCATGTTAATAAGCAGATTAGACATGATTTACATCCAATTCAAGTGATGACTCATGAAGCTTCCATTTAATTATATTTTTTAAAAGGCACGCGTGGTCGGTATGAGTTCTCTCTGAATCCTAACCAGGTCGCAATTTTGTTTTCGAAACACACACCCTCTGTATTTTACAGCAGTAATTTAATGAGTGGTGTTTTCAAGTTTTACGTCATCAGAAATATATTTTAATATTTTGCCTTTGGGCGGGGGTGGGGGGGATGCACACTGCAGAGGGGAGAGGGAGACAGAGAATCTTAAGCAAGCTCCATTGCCCAGCGTGGAGCTGGACACGGGGCTCAATCTCACAGCCCCGTGATCATGACCTGGGCGGAAATCAAGAGTCAGATGCTTCACCAAATGAGCCTCCCGGGTGCCCCAATATTTTGCCCATTTTGAAGGTTTTAATTATGAAGTCATCTAAGAGGCAGAAGATCTCTAATTCATAAAGTTAACCATGGATCAGCAGGGAAAGCTCTTTACTATGTCACCTGGATCCTGCACATAAGCAATCGTCCAATCATTCATTCATTTAATCAACAAATACCTACTAAAAACTACTAGGCGTCTGGCAAGCATGGGTTATACACAAGATCCAGTTTTGCTCCCTATCCCCACAGAACACGAACATTTGCAGAGCAGCAACCACAGTGGTGGTACAGCTACCACAGGTCAAGTCCAGGGAAAGAGGTGAGTTCATCCCAGGGGCACCAGATTCAGCCTTGAGGGAGGGGATGTCAAGAGAGATCACACTTGGGGCCTGAGCACAGCTGACGAATCATCACGAAAACACCCCTGCACAGCCCCTTTCACAGCATGATGCGATGTCACGGTTTCATTTCTCCTGAACATCCTCCCACTTTGACCTCGGTCCCACCAAGACCTCAAACCAAGCAGACCCTCAGAAACGTCCCCCGAGTGGCCACAGTAATCTGCCCTAAATGCTTCCCTCTGGTTTGTATTATCTCTCACAGAAACCGTAGCATTTTTTTTTTAAGCTTCTATTTTCTCGTTGGCTTTGCTCAGCTTTTCTCTGCCAAGCCCTACACCCTCTATGCACGCCCCTTCCTGAAACCGCAGCACTTAGAGAGGTGAGTCTGACGGTGCCCACGAACATGCCGAGACCACAGAGCTGGGCGGAGCTGAGTCTCGTTTTCCCATATTGTTATTAACAGCAGCTATTTCTGAAGTCAGATCGCAGTGTGAGGATTAAGCTCAAGTATCTCTTTGATGTTTGATAGAATCTTCTAATAATACCAAGTCCCACTGAGGACAGTTTCTAAAAACTAAATATACGACGTGACAGGATCATCAGGCATCTCTAAAAACATGGGATCCAATTAATTGCCCATGGCTTTGTGCAGAAGTCTTCCCAAACAGTTGAATGGGTATGTTATCCTGTACCATGAGATCATAAGTTCCAATGTCTATCCGCTAACTGACTTTAGACCATCCCTTTTTTTTTTTTTTTGAGATTTCAGTTTTTTTCATTTGCGAGAGACAGAGAGCATGCGCACGCACAAGCAGAGGGAGAGGGAGAAGCAGGCTCCCCACTGAGCAGGGATACCGATGCGGGACTTGTTCATGAGACTCCAGGATCATGACCTGAGCCTAATGCAGTTGCTTAACCGACTGAGCCACCCAAGTGCCCCTAGGGCCATCTTCATAGAGTATTTTCCCACTTTTGATAGAATACATTAGAAAATTTGCAAATCCTATTCAAAAATTTAAAAAGGACTAAAACATTTGTAACCACACGTGCATGTTTATTATTCCTTACACTATGCCTCAAGGCTCTTTAGTTAATGCTTTAAGTATCAGTAGGGGAATTACTATTAGAGAACACTCCACATTGGAACACTAGAAAGTTCTTTTCTATGCACAACTAAGACCCATTACCTTTCTATGAATACCTCTTACATACACGTGAAACATTTGTCTTTTTATAAGAAAAGATTATGGATTACTATGGATTTTCCCTTTTTTTTCCCCTGTGCCAGTGATTTCTCTTCATTTGTATTTTATTGTTTTCAGCTTTAACTGAGGCACAATTGATAAAGCTGCCATACACTGTGTGTAAGCTCCATAACGATGGTCTGATACAC